TGCCCAACCTTCCTTCCGAGGAATGGCTGGTGGATTTGAATTGCCAGCCTTCTGGTTAGCAGTCAAGTGCCTTAGCCACTATGCTACCGGAGCTCCTTCCTTAGCAACTAGAAAGATGCAAATCAAAACTATGAGATACCACTTCACTCCTATTAGAATGGCAATGATCAAAAACAAACTACATGTGTTGGCAAGGTTGTGGAGAAACTGGAAACCTTATCCATTGCTGATGGGAATGTAAAATGGTACAGACACTGTGGAAAAGAGTCTGCTTGTTTCTCAAATATTTGAATGGAGAATTACCATAGAACCCAGCAATCCCAATCCAACATACCAGAAGTGAAGACAGGATGGAAACAGAAATTTATACACTAATGTTCACTGGCGCTTTTCACAATAGCCAAAAGGTGGAATCAACTGAAATGTATACAAAAGATAGTGGATAAACAAAATGTGGCATATACACACAGTGCAATATTACTCAGCCATAAAGAAAATTGAAGTTTTGATGTTTGCCACTGAATTGGTGAACCTTGAAACCATCCTGCTGAGTGAAGTCAGTCAGTTGCAAAAGGACAAATACTGTATGATCTCACTTATATGAAATAAATATATAGAAACTAAAGATCATTAGTAGTTACTAGGGGTGGGAATAGGAGCTCTGGTAGTATAGTGCCTAAGGCATTTGACTGCTAACCAGAAGGCTGGCAGTTCAAATCCACCAGCCACTTCTCGGGAGGAAGGTTGGGCAATCTACTTCTGTAGTGATACTGCCTCGGAAACCCAAGGAGGGGTCGCTATGAGTCGGGGCTGACTCAGCGGCATGTAACAACAACAGGGGTAGGAAAGAAGAGAAATGGGAGTTTTTGTATAGGGAGCACTGAGTTTCCATTAATAGTAGAATGATTTGGGAAATGATAGTAAGAATGGTTGCACAACTTGTAGAATGTAACCAATGTCACTGAATTGTATATATACAAACCATTAAGACGATGTATTTTCACCACTATAAAATTTTAAAAAGAGAAAAAAATACAAGGGGGTACATGATTTTCTAAAACATTTTTTTAGATATATAAATAAACAAAAATTGAAGAACACTTATAGGAGTCTAGTAAGTCTGCCACATTGGTCTCATAATGAATAGCTCACTCACCATTCATTGGGTGATAAATCTGGCTGGGGAGAAAAGCATAGTGTGGTGTAAAATATTTTGGACAGACTATGAAAATAGAAATCTAGCTTTTTCACTACTAGTTTTGTAACCTATGGCAACCAGTTCACCTGTCTAGCTTTGTAAAATATGTAAAATAAAGTGTTTGGACTATGATTCTTTCAAAACTGGGAGCCATTCCACTCTGTCAATATAAGCTCTGTGAAAGGATGCACTCAGAGAGTTTGCCATTCTCTTTTCCTTCTTGTTAAAATAATTTGAAGTTCTTTCCTATTGTTGTTGTTGTTATGTGCCGTCGAGTCAAACCCGACTCATAGCGACCCCTCCTTGGATTTCTGAGGCAGTATCACTACGGAAGTAGGATTGCCCAACCTTCCTTCCGAGGAGTGGCTGATGGGTTTGAACCACCAGCCATCTGGTTAGCAGGCAAGTGTCTTAGCCACTATGCTACCAGAGCTCCCGTTCCTTCCTATAGGTAACATATATACACCGTTGGGAATAGAAAGAAAACCATTAACTTTTTTTTTCCTTTTGTCCTCCACTAAAGGGAGCTCTGGTAGCATACTGGCTAAGATACTTGCCTGCTAACCAGACAGCTGGCGGTTCAAACCCAGCAGCCACTCCTCGGAAGGAAGGTTGGGCAATCCTACTTCCGTAGTGATACTGCCTCGGAAACCCAAGGAGGGGTCGCTATGAGTCGGGTTTGACTCGACGGCACATAACAACAACAACAAAGAGAAAATGCTCCTCTAACACTATGGAATGAATAATCAAGCAATTAGTTGAAACCCTTGCACAGTCATTAATTTTGAGACATCATGGAGGATCTCATAAATCCTGAAGATTGTTAACTGCATATATACGGCTTCCATTTACACTAAGCATTCTTAATCTGGGATCTGTAGACAGGATTCAAGGAGTCCAAAAAGTTAAGTAGGAAAAAGATACATTTTTACTTTTATTAACCTCTTAATTAAATTAAAGGTCCGCTTTGGTACTTCCTTTGAGTGGCACAAATGGTATTTCGTTTGAGCAACACAAATGGTTTGCTCTCAGTTACTAACCAAAAGATTGGCAGTTCAAATCCACCCAGCTGTTTGAGGAAGAAAGGCCTGGCAATCTACTCAAATTCAGTCAGCTGCTCTGTGGAAGGAAACCCTGGCAATATACTTCTGTAAAAGTAAATTTAAAGGGGGAAAAAAAACCAATTGCTAGAGTTGAGTCTCACTCATGACAACCCCATGTGTTTCAAAGTAGAAATGCTCTACATCGGGTTTTCAGTGACTGTGATCTATTAGGACATACATCACCAGGCCTTTCTTCCTAGGTACCTCTGGGTACATTTGAACTGCCAACTGAAAGTTAGTAGGCCAGGGTTTAAGGGGTGTGCGCCATCCAGGAATTCTTTCCATAAATTTATTGGCACTGAAAAACCTTATAAGCATAGATCTACTCTGAAACACATGTGAAATTGCTGAGTAGGAAGGAATGACTCCTATACAAAGGGTTTGGTTTCTAATTTACCATTTCCTTCAATTATAGATATAGGCAATAACCAGTGTATTATTAGTTGTTGTTGTTACTTTGTCCCCAAGAGAAATCAGTTTCTTATCCTTTGACAGTTGCAGATATCTCAAAACATTATTTACGTTCTTTACTACTTTAAAACTATGGTCATGTATTAGACTTATCACCAGCCTTTTTTTATTTAATGCAAAAAGTACACATATAACTGTGTATGCACACTATTGCTATATAAAAAAGTGGGCTTTAATGTTTTGATAAATAATTCAACATAATTTTACTTCCTTTGTAGTGTTGTTATGTGTCATCAAGTCATCTACGACTCACAGAGACCTTATGTACAACAGAACAAAACTGCCTGGTCCTGTGCCAGCCTCATGATCCTTACTATACCTGAGCCCATTGCTGCAGCCACCATGTCAATCCATCTTGTTGAGGGTCTTCCTCTTTTTCACTGACCCTCCACTTTACCAAGCATGACATCCTTCTCCAGAGAATGGTCCCTTCTGACAATATGACCAAAGTAGGTGAGATGAAGTCTGACCGTCCTCGCTTCCAAGGAGCATTCCGGCTGCACTTCCTCCAGGACAGTTTTGTTAGTTCTTTCAGCAGTCCACGGTACTTTCAGCATTCATTGCCAACACCACAACTCAAAAGCATCAACTCTTCTTCAGTCTTCCTTATTCATTGTCCAGCTTTTAAAGCACTACATATATTAATCTTATGCATTTAAAAACTGCACTGAGAAGGGGTTGGTCCAAAAAAATACCAAACCTGTTGCCCTGGAGTCAACTCATAGTGACCTTATAGGACATACTATAACAGCCCCATAGATTTCCAAAGCTGTAAATCTTTAGGGAAGCAGACTGCCTCATCTTTCTCCAATTACTGACCTTTTGGTTAGCAGCCAAATGCTTTAACCACTGCACCACCAGAGCTTCTCTGAAAGGGTCAATCCAACTCAAAAACCAAACTCACTGCCATCTAGTAGATTCCAACTCATAGCCACCCCCATTGGGTTTCCAAGGCTGTAAATCTTTCCCAAAGTAGAGTCCCCTATCTTCCACCCCTGGAGCAGCTAGTGGGTTTGAACCGCTGAGCTTCTGGTTAAGCAACCAAATGACTTACTGCATCACCAGAGCTCCATTAGGAGAGGGTCAGTAGGCCTCACCAAATTGCCAAAGGGAGCTCTGGCAGATAAAAAAGGCTAAGAACCTCAGCATGAACCCAGATATAAAGATCACTAAAGGAGCTCTGGTAGCACAGTGGCTAAGACACTTGCCTGCTAACCAGATGGCTGGCGGTTCAAACCCACCAGCCACTACTCGGAAGGAAGGTTGGGCAATCCTACTTCCGTAGTGATACTGCCTCGGAAACCCAAGGAGGGGTCGCTGTGAGTCAGGTTTGACTCCACGGCACATAACAACAACAACAACAAAGGACCTTTAGTACACCATAAAGTACTTGGTGGCTGTCATTGTGAGAATTATGGCCTGATAGTCGCCTTTATAATTTTTGGGTCTGAAATGGCGTTAGTAGGTAGTCTTAAGGAGCAATCAGTTGCAATTTAAACTTAAAAAAAAAAAAGCTTTTCAGAAATCGCGGAAGCAAAGGAGACAGGTGGAACCCAAGGAGACAGGTGGAACCCATTACACTCCAGTTACCGTTACTGGCTACAAAGCCCACCGAATGCCAAACAACCCACTTCCTGGTGATTGACACTACTGCCTATACCCACCCTACGTTTAAAGAGGGCACAGAACAAGCAGTGAGAGAACAAAATCTACATGACTGAGCCAGAGAAAACTAAAAAAATTATGTCCGGGGATTTCGCCAACATCCGAAGATTTGTAGGGCTTAAATGTGTGTAGCTATTGCTCCCGGATTGCACCGAAAAGTTTAGCCTCCAACTTCAAGTTTGGAAAACATCGCTTTTCTTCGCTCAGGGGTTCCCGCTACATCTGGCTGGCGGTCCGTTTCCTTCTCAGTTTCTCGGGAAGTGTTTCGGCACAGAATACAAGGCTTCTTTGCTTGGAGGTCGGCTCTTCCTAGAACCCAAAGTCTGTGTCTCTTTAAGACCCCTGGTTCGAGAACCGAACCTTCAAGTAATTAGTTTAGACTCCGCCTCTTTCACTGCAGCCCGGACCACACTTCGAACTAGCGCCTGAGATCGGCGCCGTTGGTGAACGTAGCATTGCGTAATTGGCTTGTAGACCTGGCTTCCTTCCTTTCATTGGTTATCGCTCGCGACCCCGCCTGAAGAAACAGGATTGGCGAAAGGCGCAGCCAGCCCCGCCCCTCGCCCCCGCCTCCAGTTTCGCGGCCGCCAGGGTGTCCTCGCGCTGCTCTTCCGCGCGCAGCCTGGCAGTTTGCCTCTTCCTCGTCCTCCAGCCTGCGTCTATGGCTACCGCCGCCACCGAAGAGCCTTTCCCTTTTCACGGTCTCCTGCCGAAAAAAGAGACCGGAGCCGCCTCCTTCCTCTGTCGCTACCCGGAGTATGATGGGCGGGGGGTGCTCATTGCCGTCCTGGACACTGGGGTCGACCCTGGAGCCCCGGGTATGCAGGTGAGGCAGCCCTCAAGGGCCTGGGACGCGGGGGCGCTGGCGATCAGGGACACGGGAGGCGACGCAGCCTCCAAGAAGGCCGAAGCCCGGCTGTGCGGCCGAGCTGAACCTGAGGTCGGCAGCGCAGAGAACCCGGCACCGGGAGGAGTCTAAAGCAAGAGTTGAGCGCACGCCGGAACGCCGGAGGGACCCAAAGGCGCCCCGGGCGCGGGATGGGCCAGAGGCTCGGAGCTCGGGAGCCTGGGCTGGGCCGTGTTCCTGGTCCAGACAAAAGCAACGCGCCTGGCGCGGCTGGTTTGGGGACCCTGGATCCGCCTTCGCCTCAGGGAAACCCCTTTCTTAGGCATTACCAGTTCGGAGACCTCGGGGCTCCTTCCCATACCATGAGACTTCTTCTACCGGTTCCTCATGAGCTAGGGGCCAGTCCTTACCTGCTATTTCCAAATTAGAATTTTAAAATTGTTTTTTAGATGAGGAGAGCAAATGACATACAAGAACTTAATTTTAATTGCTGTGGTTCGAAAGACTCGGTTTGGGGAATAATTGTCTTTAAGCATGAAGGCCGGGTCTCTAGAAGATAACTCAGTCAACTTCCGGAATCGTTTCCTCTGGTAGTTTTATGTATTCTATTTTTAAATGATCTTCTGCAGTGTATGTGTTTAGGGTCATTGAATCTTGTTGCTTAGTCTTCGCTTTACATAAGGAAAATAGAATTTCGCTTTTGTTTTTATTGAACTTTTCAGGCTTTATTAACTTCAGAAGACACAGCAACATACTTTTATTGCGGTTTTTTAAAATTATCACTTACTTTTGTCCTAGGCAACTTTGAAATCTTTAGATCAAGATACCATAGCGAACGGTAATTTTTAAAAATAATGTCTCCTGGCTAAAAGCATTCTGCTTAAATAAAGTCTTTGAAGTTTGACTTTTGTAAACTTAGCCTTTTACTGAAATTTGTTAATGAACAAAATGTTACCGTTGTTCAAGGTTCATCTCCCAAAAGTTTTCCCTGACTAATCCTGCTGTATATTGATCTCTTCCTTGTGTATCAGTCCTTCCTCTGTATCTCTCACATCATTTTCTACACTAAACTCTGAAGTTTAACAATGCTCTGCCTCCCCCCCCCCCACTCCTTTCCTTTTTCGGTTCTTTATTGTGATTTCTGATAATTGATGTAGCACATTGGAGGTTCAGAAGTAATTTGGGGAAAAAGGGAAGCTAGTTTGACCTCTATATAGAAATTCTCTAAGAATCTTGCTTCTTCCTATTAATTCTTCAGCAGTACTTTGGACTACAACAAACTTGTGGCTCTCCTGGGCTGCTTTGGTGAATCAGAAGAGTAGGTGATGAATTCCCTCCTGGTAGCTACAGTATGTGTTGTATTAATAACTCTTAAAATTTAAAATAGTGACAGCTATCACCTCATTGAAGCTTTATTACAGAGTAGTAATGGTTTCCATTCTGTTGTGGTGTATGTTTACTTTTTATAGGGATAAGTGGGAGGAGAATAACAGGTAAGTGGTTCACTGATTCCTTTGTCAGTCAATATAATAGGATCTGAAAAGTGTAGAGAAGTTCTGTCTCCAGTAGGAATATTTTATAAAATTTCCCAGACTTGTTAATCAAATTATCTGTTACTCCCTGTAAAGTAACAACAGTTCTCACCCTACAGGGTTGCTCTAAAAATTTATTGTAAGAGAGGATTGGTTACAGTATTATAATTAGATTTGTAAGGGAGGTATAATAAAAGCACTTTTTAAAGTGCTTAATGAAAGTGTTAAATAAAGCTAGTTTTTTAAGCTGTGATATTTAGTAGGAGTTTGTAGGGGGTTCTTAATCCCCGATTATCCAAAAGTTAAATGTATATTTAACTTAGATACTTGTATGTATTGACATAAATACTTGAGCAATAAAATATTGAAATCAAGTGAAAATGTAACTGTTCTAAGAACTGTAACCCTTAGATACTGACCTAAACATGGCCAATTAAAAGCAGTTCAGTAAAGTGGCTTATAAGTAAGTACTGGTGGATTTTAAGATTATTATCTTTATCTTTAACAAATTTATTTTGTACGTTTATGTATATATGTGTAAGATAAGATGAATAAAAAGAGAAGGAATTAAATAGGAAGAGGAGGCTGAAATGGACATTTGGAAAAACACGTGGGGTATGAGTAAAGGACGAGAGGCACAAGTGAAAACTTTGAAGGACACTTTGGGGTGTCTTATTCTTTCTTGGGCCCAGTTGTCTTTTGTGATAGCTGACTGGGCACATTAAAAGTAGCGGGTAGCTGGCATGAGCAAAGTAATAATAACATAAATAATTAAATATTTCCTAAGCAAATATTCAAATACTTTTGAGGTGCCTAAGGTTGGGCAATCCTACTTCCGTAGTGATACTGCCTCGGAAACCCAAGGAGGGGTCGCTATGAGTCGGGGCCGACTCGATGGCAAACAACAACAACCACAACATTGTGTTAGGAGGTCTGGTAGCATAGTGGCTAAAGCACTTGACTGCTAACCAGGGGTTCAAACCCACCAGCCACTCCTCGAAAGGAAGGTTGGGCAGTCCTACTTCAGTAGTGATACTGCCTCGGAAACCCAAGGAGGAAACCCAAGGAGGGGTGGCTATGAGTTCGGGCGGACCCGATGGCACATAACAACAATAACAACATTGTGTTAAATGATGTAGTCAGTCCTGCAAACTGTAATTGTTACAGAGATTGAAAAAGAAGGGGAACAATTGAGAGCTAAATCAATCAGAACTAGATGGGACTTGAACTGGACCTAGAAATATATATGAAATATCCAGCTAGCTTTCCTGCCACCAGTCTTTCTTCTCTTTGCTTCATCTTTCACATTGTAAAAATTATTTTCCATTAAAAAAAGAAGGAAAAAAAAAGAACCTTGTACTATACCCTTGCTTAAATTAAAAGGAATTATGTTTTGGGATCCCAGTTGATTATACATAAAACTTTGAACTTTTTATGTGTAAGGCCTTTATCATTCAACTATAGCCTCCTCCTGCAGCCTCAGTTCTTACCATTTCTTTTATCTCTATCTATGCTGCCCCTACCCTTTACCTTGTGCTTCCATGTTGAACATTTTACTCTCTTCCAGTTGCCCAGATGTTTTGGGTCTTTTTCTAGCATGTGCCTTTGTGTGTGGTATTTAATCTGATTTACAGTCTCCTGTAAAATTCCTACTTAATCCTTCAACACCTCGTTGGGTCTTGACCTCATTACATTGGGGGGTATCAACTAATCTAATTCAGCTTCCCACCATGTATTTATATATATGTGCCGTGTATTGTGCTAGGGCTTGCGGGTTCAAAGATGAATAAGGCCCAGTCCCTGCAACCAAAGGTTTGCTTTTGTGTTTTCCTTTTTGCTCTAATAGCAATTTGTTCAAATCTCCCTAATAGTGTTAAAAATTTCATTTTAGTATCTTTTTTTTACATACCTTGTTCGTGCTTAAGTTAAACATATTTGAAAACATACATCCTAATTCATTTTGTATGAAATGTGTTTGTAATGTTAAATATTTTTTTGAATGGAAAAATGTGGTAGGTGATGTGTGTGTGTACGATATGAACACACACACACATACATATATACACACACATACAAAAACATTTCCTTATGTGGGGAAAAGGCTTAGGGAAAGAGGTTACAAGTAATCCTGTAAACTTATTTCTATTTTTAGATCCACTAAAATATAATAGAGAATGCTAAGTAAATTATCAGTTATATATCTCTGTCTACATAGATAAATACGTGTTGTAGATTACTAATATTGGATACTATGCAATTTATTTTAAGTTCTATTATCTCTTTTTCAGTTAGCCTTCCCCAGTTTCCCCAAGTTGGGCATTGTGTTCTTACGAGCTTTCATGGAGACTATCCTTAACTCTATTATTTGTAGTCTTGTATCACAGTTATCTCTCTACTCATCTGTCTTCCCACCTGGATTGTAATTTTTCTCAAAGCAAAAATTGTCTTATTTATTCATATTAGGACTCAGAATTAATAGCAATTTAGTAGTATTTGTTTATGCAATATCTTCCCTTGCTTATAAGAACATTTTCAATGTTTTCTTCCCCTGGAATTTGAATTAAATATTGATTCATTCAAAGAGGCCTGATGGCACAATGGTTAAGCACGCAGCTGCTATGCAGAATGTTGGTGATTTGAACCTACCCAGTGCTCCATGGGAGAAAGACCTGCTCTGGTAAAGATTACAGCCTAGAAAAGGGGCAGTTTTCCTCAGTCACATGGGGTCACTGTGAATCAAAATCAACTTAACAGCACCTAACAGCAACTACTTACAAATTCACGTAGTTTTGTTGAGACAGTTTGCGTACCCTCCTTTTGTTCTGATCCTTTCTACAAATGCATAGTGAGTGGTTCACTTACCCTCACCAACTCCTGCACCATAATTGTTTTAGTGAAGACACGCAGTCACTTGGATTATTGGTATTTTAGGAATACCAAAAAGTTTGGGAAGTTTCTGTTTTATCCAACCAGCATAGTCCAATAAGGACTTCTCAGTCTCCCATCTCAGTACATGAAGGTTTATTACCTTAACTCTACTCGTAGTAACTATTCTTACTTTCCCTCTCTCCCACATCATACCTCAAAGATGAGGGATAGTTCCAGTGTTAGCAATTCAGTTACCTTTTCTTTACTTCTAAAGTTCTTTTGCAAAATTCTCAGCTATTTGCCCTTAATTTTTTTTTTTTTTTTTTAATAAAAAAATTCTTTTCTTCCTAACCCTGAATCCCCATTTTGTCTTATTATCTCCAGTGGGGTAGTTTCTTTTACCTAATAATAAAGTAAAACATATAATTGCATATATAAGAAATTACTTTATATAAAGAATTTATAGAAATTTTAGCAAGAAATGAATTTAAAAAATTAGTTAAAGTTAGTAATTATTAAAGAGACACAGAGAGAATACTTAAGTCTTTGGAAATACCAGAACCTATTGCCATCAAGTTGATTCTAACTCCCAGTGACTTTATAGGAGACTAAAACTGTCCTGTGGGGGTTTCAAGACTGTCAGTTTTTATGGAAACAGACTGCCTTTTCTTTCTCTGGAGGAGCAGCTAGTATGTTTAGAACTGCTAACTTTTCTGTTAGTAACCAAGCGCTTTAACCACTGCTCTACCAGGGCTTCTTGTGGAAACAGTTGATGGTAAACAAGTCACTGAGTCCATTGGGCTTTTTCTTTTGCACACTGATAATGAGGTTTCTAATTAGAGAACCGTGTCTGATTTGTAACTGATCTCTTAATATTCTGGAGCTCAAGTCACTGGAGTTGTTTGCACATTTGAATGAGAAGATGAAGAAGATAGGTGACTTGTGTTCTTAGTGTGTCTTTCAAATTATGTGTGGATTTGGAAATATATTTTAAAGTAGATTATTTTCTTATTAGTACATGAGCTAGCTAGCTTTAATTTTATAGAGAGGTATTAACTTCCTCTTAATTGTTTCCACTTTTATTTTGGTAGATTTTCTTATATTTTCCTTCATTACTTTTTTATTTTTCAAGATACTTAGCCTCTCCCTTCAAAATCAATATCTGATTTAAATTTTATAATAAAATGTTATCAGAGTTTGGTATGATTTCCACCATGATTTTTTAAAATTATAATTTTGAGGTGTAGAATATTTGTTTGTTACTAAAATAGATAACATAAGACATGAACACCCATTTTAGAAATTACCATACATAAAACACAACAACAACTATTCAAGGAAGGCCTATATGGCCCCCAGAGTATTCTGTGGCAACATGATTAAAGTTTGTGGCCCACTAGCCACCTTATTACTTTTCCTTACACAGAAAAAATTTTTTTTCTTTTGTTTTCTCCGAGTAGTGAATTTCTCTCTCCTTCTTTAGGGTATACCTTAATTACAAAACTTTCAGGATGCTGTAATGACTGAGCAAAGTGTTACTTAGAAAGACTCACAGAAAGGGACATTAAGCTTTATCTTAAAGAAACAGTGGGAATTCCCCAGGTGGAGAAAGGACCTGAAGACTTTGTACTCTTGTCACACTATTGGCATTTTTCACATTCCTGTTTCTTTCTTGAGGGTAACTGGAATCTTTTTTCAGTCTTCTTTTCCCTTTGCAAAGCTCGCTCGGAAAGAGCCCACAAGAACAGTGTGGGCTTTTACTTAAAGCATTTGTAAACAAACTCATAGCCCTCAAGTTGAATCTGACTCCTAGCGACCCCGCTTTGGGTTTCCAAGGTGGTATTTCTACAGAAGTAGATTGCCCAGTCTTCCTTCCAAGGAGTGGCTGGTAGGTTTGACCCACGAGCCTTCTGGTTAGCAGTCAACGCGTTAGGCACTACTTCAGCAGAGCTCCCTTCATATTATGGCTCAAATGGACAGTTCCATGCCTTAGGAAAATTAGTTTTAATGCTAAGTAGTTATTGCCAGATCATTCAGTAATTTAATAAATATTTATCATGTATCTAATAAGGACTGCTGGATATTAGGTGTACATTGGTAAATAAAGAAGACATAGTCCTTGTACTTAGCAGAGCTTGTATTCTAGTAAGGGAAATGAGTACGAAATCATACAGCTATATAACTACATAGTGAATTAAATTCTGTGAAGGCAACATAAGGTACAGTGAGAAAGAACAGACTTAGAATGTTGACCACTTCTTTTAAGTCATCAGGGAGATCTTTCTGAGAGGGGTGACGTTGTAGAAAACTGAAGAGTGACTTGGAATCCCCATGGTTCATCTGAAAGGATAGAGAGTGCTACGCAGGAGGACCCCTGTGCAAAAAAAGTGGTGAGGGAGGAAGAAGTTTGGCATGTTCCAGGAATTGAAAGGTCAGTGTGGTTAAAGTTGGGAGTGACAAGGGTCCTGTCTTATAGAGCTCTTTGAATTTTAGGTGCTATGAATCCATTGAAGGGATTCAAAAAGAAGAATGGCGTAATACAAATTAAGATTATTTTTGGTGGAGGCCAAGAGTGAAAGCTGGGAGATGTGTAAGGAAACGATCAAAGTTATGTAGGCAGGAGGTGATTGTGGCTTGGAAGATTAGGATAGTAGTAGTAGAAATCAAAAGAAGATGGATTTTAATTATATTTTGGAGGAAGAATTAACAGGAAGGACTTCCTGGCAGATTTGATGGAAGGAGTAAGCTAGGGTAAAGAAGCAGAGAGAGACTTTTTTAAGTTTCTGGCTTGAACAGCTGGGTGTGGTGATGCCTGAGTTGTCAAAACTTGGGGAGAAACAGGTTTGAGGGGGCATGTTAAATTGGAACTTCGGATGTTTTATGGTGTTGGTATGGCATACAGTAATGAAATATTACATAATAAAAATATTTCCTGAAGTTTTGGACTTGTCCAGCCCAAAGCGTACCTTCCCCAGGTCTTTGCGCAAATGTTAACCTCCACAGTGAGGCCTTTGTTGTTGTTTCAACCAGCCTAGTTAAAACTGAAAGCCCCATACCATCTGTTTACCTTCCCTACTTAATTTTTCTCCATAGTAATTATGTGAATATTATATGTTTTTACTTATGTATTCATTAGCTGTTTCTTCATTATAATGTGGTATCAGTGAAATTGGGGATTTGGTGTTTTGATCACTGCTGTATCCCGAACACCTAAAACCGTATGTTGTTGTTGTTGTTGTTATGTGCCGTCGAGTCGGCCCCGACTCATAGCGACCCCTCCTTGGGTTTCCGAGGCAGTTATCACTACGGAAGTAGGATTGCCCAACCTTCCTTCCGAGGAGTGGCTGGTGGGTTTGAACCGCCAGCCGTCTGGTTAGCAGGCAAGTGTCTTAGCCACTATGCTACCAGAGCTCCCAAAACCGTATGTAGTCTATAGTAAATATTTATTAAATGAGTATGTCAAACCACTTGAAGGATTCTGTGGTGTTTCCATGACTAAATTAGCGCTGAAATACTAGCTGAAAGGTTGGTGATTCATATGCACCCAGAGGTACCTTTGAAGGCAGGCCTGGTGATCAGTTTCCAAAGGGTCACAGCCTTGAAAACCCTATGGAGCAATTCTCTGCACACATGGGGTCACCATGAGTTGGAACCAGCTGGCTGGCAACTAACAACAACTTTATATAAGTAAATGTATATAAATAAAAGCTCTGGTTGTTCAGTGGTTAAGGCATTTGCTGCTAACCAAAAGATTAGCAGTTTGAACCCGCCAGCTGCTCCATGGAAGAAAGATGAGGCAGTCTGCTTTCGTAAAGATTTACAGCCTTGGAAACCCAGTGGGGAAACCCAGTGGGGGCACTATGAATTGGAATCAACTCCAAGGCATTGAGTATATATAAACAGGTAGATGTGTTGTCAGATGCCGTTGAGTTGGTTCTGACTCATAATGACCTGATAGCAGAACGAAACACTACCTGGTCCTACATCATCCTCCCAATTGTTGCCGTGTTTGCACTCATATTATGCATAGTTTAACATTGTTTTTTTTTAGGGATAAAAAAAATTAAACTCTGTAATTGATATTATAATTGTCTCTTAATTTTCAGGTTACAACTGACGGAAAGCCAAAAATCCTTGACATCATTGATACAACAGGAAGTGGTGATGTGAATACTGCTACAGTAGTGGAGCCAAAAGATGGTGAAATTATTGGTCTTTCAGGAAGAGTGCTTAAGGTTAGAGTTTTTGTTGTGTTACTGATTTTCTTCTTTCTTTTTTGTACTGTTGCCTTAAAGCATGTAATGTTTGTAGCTTAAATTTTGTAGTATTAGTTACCTATTGGTGCATAACAAGTTATTCTAAAACTTGACAATTTAAAACAATGAACATTTATTATTTTGCAGTTTCTGTGAGCCAGGAATCTGGATGTGACTTAGCTGGGTGCCTCTCAAAAGTTGCAAGCTATTGGCCAGGGCAGCAGTTTCATTTGTAGGCTCACCCTGAGTGGGAAAGAGGAATCAGTTTCTAGGCTTACACAAATGGTTATTGGCAGGCCTTCATTCTTACCACATAGGTTCCTACAGGGCTGCTTTTAGAGCATTCGGCTTTCTTTGCTTAGGGTGAGTCATCTGAGAGAGAGTGCCCAAAATGGAAGCCGTGTGCCTTTTACTAAAAGTAATCTTGGAGATGACATCACATAGCTTCAATAATGTTATATTAATTAGAAGTGGTTAATAGGAGCTCTGGTAGCATAGTGCCTAAGGCGCTTGACTGCTCACCAGAAGGCTGGCAGTTCAAACCCATCAGGCACTCCTCGGAAGGAAGGTTGGGCAATCCTACTTCCGTAGTGATACTGCCTTGGAAACCCAAGGAGGGGTCACTATGAGTCGGGGCTGACTCGACGGCAAACAACAACAACAACAACAATACGTTCAACAAGGGAGGGGAATTTTACATGAGCATAAATACCAAGAGGACTGGATATGTAGGGGCCGTTTTAGAAGAAACTGTTGCTTAGTTTTTTGATGAGGAGCTTAGAGTTGGACTATTTTATCAATGTAGTTGCCAAATTCTGTTTTAAATTTGAATAGAATATTGAGGAAAGTGACCAGATGATAGTTTTGCCTTCATTTTTTCCTGTTGTGTAATTTTCCCCAGTTTGAAAGATGGCAGAAATTTGACTTGAATCTATCCTTTAAACCAATAAGTAGGATTAGTTTGGAATATAAAATTGTGGTTATTTCGATTTCCTAAGGAGCTGTGGTGGTGTAGTGATAAGGCATTTGACTGTTAACCAGAAGGTCAGTGGTTCAAACCCACCAGCTGCTCTGCGGAAGGAAGATGGGGCAATCTACTTTCTTAAAGATTTACAGCATTGGAAATCCAATGCGGATTGCTATGAGTCAAAATCAATTTGATGGCAGTGTTTGGTTTTAGTTTTTTTTAAAGATCTATATGTAGTTCTTCTCACCTTTGTGTATTTGTATTTTTTCGGTATTGCCTTTTGGATAACGTTGTTTTGGCAATATATTACTTTTTTGTGCTTTGTAACAAATTACTATAGTCTCAGCAGCTATTATTTCATTGTTTCTATGGATCTGGAGTACATGTACAGTTTAGCTAAGTCCTCTATTCAAGAGCTTATTGCTGTTAGGTGCACTTGAGCCAGCTCCGACATAGTGACCCTGTGTACAACTGAATGAAACACTACCTGGTTGTGTCCCATCCTCACAATCCTCGCTATACCTGAGCCCATTGTTGCAGTCACTGTGGCAACCAGTATCATTGAGGGTCTTCACCTTTTTCTCCGACCCTGTTCTTAACTAAGCATAATATCCTTATCCAGGCAACAATCCCTTCTAACAGCACGACCAAAGTAGGTGAGACAAAGTCTCACCATTCTCACTTCCAGGAAGCATTCTGGCTGCACATGTTCCAGGACAGATTTGTTCATTCTTCTGGCAGTCCATGGTACTTACAGTATTCTTTGCCAGCACCACAACTCAAAAGCATCAACTCCTTTTTGGTCTTCCTTATTTATTGTCCAGCTTTCACATGCATATGAGGTGATTGAAAATCCCGTGTCTTGGGTTAGGTGTACCTTAGTCTTCAGAGTGACATCTTTCCTCTTCAGCACTTTAAAGAGGTCTTTTGTAGCAAATTTGCCCAGTGTAATATGATGTCTAACTGCTGCTTCCATGGGAGTTGATTATGGATCCAAGTACTATGAAATGTTGGACAACTTCAGTCTTTTTTCCATTTATCGTGATGCTGCTTATTGGTCTAATTGTGAGGGTTTTTGTTTTCTTTATGCTGAAGTGTAATCAATACTGCAGACTCTAGTTTTTAATCTTTATTAGTAGGTGCTTTGAGTCATACTCACTTTCAAGCAGTTGTGTCGTCTGCATATTGCAGGTTGTTAATGAGTCTTCCTCAATCCTGATACTGAGTTCTTCTTCATATAGTCCAGCTTCTCAGATTATTTATTCAGCGTACAGATTGAATAAGTATGGTGAAAGGATACAACCTTGGTGAACACCCTTCCCAATTTTAAACCATGTAGCATCCCCTTGTTCTGTTCGAACGACAGCCTCCTGGTGTGTGTACAGGTTCAGTGTGTTCTCCTGGTCTATGTACAGGTTAACTGTGTTATGAGCATAGTTAAGTTTTTTTGAATCCCCATTGTTCTCATTGTTATCCATAATTTTATATGATCCACACAGTCAAATGCTTTTGCATAGTCAGTAAAACACAAGTAAACATCTTTGTGGTATTCTTTGCTTTCAGCCAAGATCCATCTGACATCAGCAATGATATCCCTCATTCCACATCCTCTTCTGAATCCAGCTTGCATTTCTGGAAATTTGCTGTCAATATATTGCTGCAACCATTTTTGAATTATCTTCAACATTTTACTCGATATATTCAATAGTATTTTTTATAATTTCCACAGTATGTGGAATGTGTACAGTTATGAATCTCTTCCCGTCAGTTGGCCAGGTAGCTTTCTTCCAAATTTTGTGGCATAGACGAGTAAGTGCCTCTAGCAAGTTATCCATTTGTTGAAACATGTCAGTGCGTATTCTATCAATTCCTGAAACTTGTTTAACACCAGTTCCTTCAGTGCAGCTTTGACTTCTTCCTTCAGCATCAGTGGTTCTTGATCATATGCCACCTCCTAAAATAGTTGAACATCGACTCATTCCTTTTCAGCGACCCCTCATTGGGTTTCTGAGGCGGTATCACTACGGAAGATTGGGCGACTAGGAGTCGGATCCGACTCGATAGCAGTGAGTTTGGTTTTTGGTTTTGACAGCATTGTACTTGAGGATAGATGTTGAAATACTCTTTGTGATGATGAATACATCACCATTCCTTTTCAATTTGTCATTCTCAGCATAGTAGATCACATGATTGTCTAATTCAGGATGGTCAAAACCAGTCCTTGGATATTGATGTTTATGCATTCTATTTCATTTTTAACAACGTCCAATTTTTATAGATTGATGCTTTGTACATTCCATGTTCCAGTTATTAATGGATGCTTGCAGCTATTTCTTCCCTTTTTGAGTCATGCCACATCAGCAAATAGAGGTCCCCAAAACTTTAATCCATCCACATCATTAAAGTTGACTGAACTTTGAGGAGGTTGCCATTCCCCAGTTGTATTTTGAGTGGCTTCAAACCTGAGGGGCTCGCATTTTAGCACTATATATATAGCCAGTGTTTCAGGGCTATTCATAAAGTTTTCCAGTAGTATATCAGACAGTGTTTCACTGCTATTCATAAGGTTTTCACTTGCCACTTTGAGAAGTGAATGGCCCATCCTTCTACTGAGTCTTAGTCTGGAAGTTCCTCTGAAACCTGTCCACCATTGGTGACCCTGGTGGTATTTGAAATACCAGTGGCATAGCATCTAGCCTCGCAGCAACATGCAAGCCACCACAGTACGACAGACTGACAGACAAGTAGTGGGTTCAAGGTCTTAGAAGACTACAATCAAGATGTTGGTTAGTACTGTGGTCTTATCTTAGACATGGGGTCCTCTTGTGAGTTTGTATGACTTATTAAAATTCATTTTCTTGTAGCTGTACAACTCATAGTAGCTTGCTTCTTTCAGACCAGCAGGAAAATCTTAGGCACTGCCCCAGTCCCATTTTTAAAGAGACTCATCTGATAAGGTCTGGCCTACCAGGGATAATCTCAATTTTGGTTAACTCAGAGTTAACCGATTATGTACCCTAATTGTATCTGCAATTTTTTTTTTTTTTCACCTTTCCCATGTAACATTACATAATAACTAAAATGATACTCATCATGTTCCCAAGTCCTGCCTATACGTAAAGAGAGGATTATATAAGGGCATGGTCATTGGTCATCTTAGAGTTTGCTTAGTACAACAAACTGCTTCATTTTTCCATTGCTTTTTAAAAAGTTGTGATCTTCAGGGAAATTAGTTTTTTTTTTACATCTGAATTATTCTACATTTTTACCTGTCTTTTCCTAGTCATCCTATTATTTTGAGTATGTTTCAGATGTTGTTGTCAGGTGCTGTCAGGTCATCTCCAACTCATAGCAACCCTACATACAACAGAATGGAACACTACCTGGTCCTGTTCCAGCCTCACAGTCCTTGCTATACCAGAGCCCATCATTGTACCCACTATGTCAGTCCATCTCGTTGAGGGCCGCCTTCTTCTTCTTCTTCTTCGCTGACCCTCTACTTTACCAAGCATAATACCCTTCTCCAGGGAATGGTCATTTCTGACAGCATGAGCAAAGTAAATGAGACAAAGGCTGACCATTCTCACTTCCAGCGAGCATTCTGGCTGCAGTTCTTTCAGGACAGATTTGTTAATTCTTTTGTCAGTCCACAGTCCTTTGAATATTCTTCGCCAGCATCACAACTCAAAAGCATCAACTCTTCTTTGATCTTCCTTGTTTATTGTCCAGCTCTCATATGCATATGAGGTGATTGAAAATACCAAGGTGTGGGTTGTTAGTGTTGTTGTTATGTGTCACCAAGTTGGACCTGACTTATAGTGACCCCTCCTTGGGTTTCCGAGGCAGTATCACTATGGAAGTAGATTGTCCAACTTTCTGTCCGCGGAGTGGCTGGTGGGTTTGAACCGCCAGCCTTCTGGTTAGTAGTCAAGTGCTTTAGGCACTATGCTACCAGAGCTCCTTAGGCCTGGGTTAGATGCATCTTATTTTTTAAGGACACATCTCTGCTCTT